CACACTTCTCCTATTGCACTTAGAGGGCTATACCAAAAGGTCTAGGACAGCAATATATCCGGTTATGTTCTTTCTTCAACCATTTGTGCAAGAGAGTCATTGACAGAGAGGTTATCTCAGTAATGGAACATGAAGTTGTGGAAACACTTTGTATGTTTGAAAGGTTTTTTCCTCCCAGCTTCTTTGATATCATGGTACACTTGACAGTACATCTAGGAAGAGAAGCAAGACTTGGAGGACCAGTCCATTTTAGATGGATGTATCCATTTGAGAGGTATACATTATTTGAATTGTTGTTTTGACATTTCAATAATCAAGTGCTTGTCTGCATTCTGATATCTTTTATTTTTGACTTTTAAGGTACATGAAAGTTCTAAAAGACTTTGTAAGAAATCCAGCAAGACCAGAGGGTTGTATTGCAGAGTCATATCTTGCTGAAGAATGTGTGCAGTTCTGTAGTGATTTCTTGAAGAAGACAACAAGTGTAGAAGAAAAACAAGAGAGAAATACAGAGTATGAGAACAGTTCTATACTAGAAGGTCGTCCTTTATCTGCAGGAACTGCAATTACTCTTACTGAGATGGAAAAGAACATAGCCCATCTTGCTGTCATTCAAAATATGGCTGCATTGGATCCTTTTGTTGAGTAAGTTCTGTTTATATTAACTACTACTTGTGTCAATATAGCAATCTGGTAACTTATGTTTTTTTAATCCTCTTTTGCAAGCATGCACTTGGAACATCTACAAGACACTAATCCAAGGTGTAGACGTGATGCATCAATGTTATGGTCTATGCATGCTAAGAACTATGCATCATGGTTAAAGGAAAAGGCAAGCTATTTCACTGTCTTTTGTATATATTTAGTCTGATTCATATAAATATAAGTCACTGACACTAATTTATGCATCTTGCTAGATACCCATTTCTTCATCTGGACATGAAGATACAATTAAATGGCTGGCATATGGTCCACGGTGTAGTGCAAGGTCATACACTGGTTATATAGTGAATGGGCAACGTTTTCACACAAGCTCACTTGAAAGGAAAAGTCAGAATAGTGGAGTCTATTATGAGGCTACAGCTATGTGTAGATCTAGTGCTAAAGATACATCACAGGTGGTTGATTTGGTATCTTACTACGGCAGAATCATTGACATCATCTTGCTAGACTATAATGTCTTCTATGTTCCTCTGTTCCGGTGTCAATGGGCAGTGAGAGGTAATGGAGTTAAAGTGGAAGATGGGTTCACACTTGTTAACTTAAATCAGAGTCAAGTCAGTTTTTTACGGGATCCTTACATACTAGCATCTCAGGCAAAACAAGTCTTTTATTCAAGGGAAGATGATTCCTCCAGTTGGTATGTTGTCATGAGAGGTTCTACAAGAAGATATAGCAAAGAAGATGTTCAGGATGGAAATGCAGATATTGGTCCATTGCCAGCAACTGTTGACATGGATATTGACATAGATGATGCAGAAACTGCTAGAACTGATTGTGAAGGAATATATGTGCCAAATGTAGCGTTTTTAAAAATCTTTGTTCTTGTTTTGGTGTCTGTTTATGTGGTGTCTGTTATCTCATAGTATGTGTAAGGTAAGATTATCATATTTTACTTATTTGTTTACTGGTCATGCAGGAGACTTAATTAAATGGGCAGACCAAAGAAGAAGGGAGGGAAACAATCAAGTAAGAAGAAGGGTACAACAAAGGATGATGAGCTAGAGTATATTGGTACTGTTGAGCCTGAGATTCAGGAACAAGAACAGCAGACTGCAGAAGAACCACAGACCAGTAAGCAAGTGGAGCAACCTGTTCAAGTATCTCAGACGGAAGGGATAGTACCAGCTGATAAAGATGGAGAAGAGGATGACCCTGCAGGTGAGCTTGAGTTATCTGAAGACCAGGAGCCTAAGCGTAAGAAACATAGGGGACCAACCAAGATGAAAAACATTGAAAGTGGAGATCCATCTGAGGTGACTAGGCTGAAGGTGTGGGTCAAGTCGCGTACCAAAAAGGATGGCACGCCAGTGAATACTAATGCAGCCGAAAAGATTGTATGTCCCAAGATTGTTTTAACATGATTTTGTTTTCCTTTAGTAACAAGTGTCATTGATTTGCAGATGAAAGCAGCTGAGCTTGTTGGAAGTGATGCTCCAACAACCACAACAAATCCAGAAGAAGATCACCTCTGTCAACTTTTAGGACCCGACAATCCTGGTAGGCTGCGGGCAATGGGTAGAGGCATGAGTAAGACCAAATTAGCTTGTTTTCAAGTGAAGACCAAGGTTATGACTGACATGGAAGAGAAGCAGGTTCAGTTACTGAAGAAGGTGAATGAATTGGAGGAGGAACTTAGCAAAATGAAGAAGCAGGTTAACTACTTACACAATTAATGATCCAAGCAGCTAAGATTATATATATGAGAACTGACATTATTCTTTTATGTTATAGAGACAAGAACCATAAATAGGTGAAAACTCAGCTGCCAGAGTAAGTAATTTATATCAGATCCATGAATCCTTCTTACTATTGTTATTTCTGACTTAAATTTCTATTTTGTAGAGTGTAAACAAAAGATCACACCCTAAGTGTGTATTGGTTGATTGGTCTGGTAGTGATGAAAACGTTGGTGAGGGGCGTATTCTATCTTCTGATCCTGATGACTTAGTGAATGACTGTCGTCTAGGCCCTACAGATCTTAAAGTGTTGGTTGAAACTGCTACTAAAGCAGATGCATTCCTCTGGAGACCAGCAACTAAGATGTTTACTATTCAGGAAGCTGTTGGACAGATTATTGCATGGCCAGCCTCTAAGTGTGTTCTTTTGGACAAAGAGCTCCAAATAGAAGACATTGCGCCTTTGGTAAACTTTATATTGATACACTATATTACTGAGCCTGTTTATGAGTTGGTATTTGATGAGTTATTTTCAAAATGTTTTTGACAGGGCCTAAGAGCAAACTCTATGAATAAATGTAAACTGCTGGATTTGTCTGATGATGATGTGATTGTTGCTGAGGGTCGTTGGCAGACACAAGAAGAAACTGCATTGGTTAATGGACTACCTCTTGGACCAAAGGCAGTAAAAGTATTTGTGGATTCAGTGCTTCAACCAGAAACATTCATATGGAGGCCTACAATTGATATGGCATACCTTGAGGACTGTTTGATGGCTTTTGTTTCATGGCCGGTCAATAAAGTTAGCTTTGAGACTCAGTCTCCTAGACAGCATTCTGCATCAACTGATATACCTTCAGGATCTAAATCTGCAGTTGGGACAAAATCTGCGGAGACAAGTGATAAACCAGCGTCTAATGCCTCTAAATCTTCAGGATCAGGTTCTGAATCTCCTATTGAGACTGAAACACGCCCAAGCTCTCCAGTAAGGAAAACTATACCAGATTCACAGTCTCCTATCCGGAAATCACAGGTATTTCTATTTTATTTTGGTCTGATTACTTCTGTCAATCTTCTGACCTTTTGTTTTATGTTGTAAACATGGCAGCGTATCATGCAAAATGGTTCAAAGGAGAATAAGAGATGCAAGTTGATGGACATTACCGGAAAGAGTCGAGTAGTTGCTGAAGGACGATGGGCAACAAATGATCCAAACCAGAAGGTTCACTTTGTTCCTTTGGGTACTAATGCTGTTAAAGTGTGGGTAGATATTGTCAAAGTTAGCGATGCAGAAGTTTGGAGGAAATCAGATGAAATAGAGATTATGGAAGATGCCCTTGGGACAGTTATTGCATGGGCTGAGGACAAAGTGATCATGGCCTGAGGTTTGGTTTGTGAAACTTCTTTGGAAGACTTGTTTTCAGACTTTTAGTTGGTTGGTTTTGGATCTTAAGGAGATCATTGACAGGATCTTTGGAAAACTTGTTAGCTTGTTATGTGAAACATGTCTTGTGAATTGTATCTTGGATTTGAAGTTATTAATGATGTATTTGGGGATTTTAAAACAGGTGTGTCATAAAAAAAAGAAATCAGTGACATGAAAACAAATATAATAGCATTTAAAAACCTGCTACGAAATATATTGGTTTTTAAAATGTAAGATTTAAAAAATGCTATGTTAGAGTCATCTACTGTAGCGCAATATATGAGTAATTACTAATTTTTTATCTTATATATAAACGCTATAAGATAATATCTCATAGCATAAATATTTCTTATAAAAACATAAACTAAACCGTTTTAATATAGCTATCGTAGAGACCCCTATCATAGCATGGATAATGAGTAATTGCAAAATTTCAAACAAATAAATACGCTTGAACACACAGCGTTGCCCTACTGCTATAATAGAAGTCTTTAACATAGCATTTGTATTTAACGCTATCTTATGTGGGGTACTTACGATAACAGGGGCATAAAATAGCGTTTATGAAAATGCTATTAATGACAAAACATAGCGTTTCTCTCGTGCTAAGAATGTGGATTTTTCTTGTAGTGGTTCTTCTTCCTCTGCAAGCTTAACGTTCTCCCATGGCTAATGGAAATCAACAAGCTCCCACTTTGCCGAATCTGTTCCAAAACCCTTAATCTTGCAAACAAAAGTAGGATTTTCTACATATTGATCTTTCCAAACGACGAAATTGAATGAAAGAAAAAGATGAATAAATCTTCAAAGAAAATTACGAATCGGAATAGAAATTTAGGTTACAAATTATTATCAACAGTTGGACCGGTAAAAAAGAGGTAATTTAAATTACCTTGGCCGCTGCCCGAAGTGACGTGTGAACAATCCAGTTCGTCGATCGCTAATCAAACGAACTCTAAGTCAAATCTGCAAACTAAGTACCAATTCGAACCCCGGTGGTAACATAACCACATAGGAAACACAACCACATAGGAAAGTATTGATTGGTGCTATGAAGTCTAATTTAATTATACTTATCCCTAAAAACAAAACCGAACGGTTCCGGTTTAAACCGGTACGCTAAATAATTTCACATCATCAGTGTGTTATCATAATTAATTTATTTGGTTCGGTTCCTTTTTTTTTTTGTTCAACAAGAGTCCGATGTTCGTTCTTGTCTTCAGCTTCCAGATCTCTGTTTCCTGGAGTAAAGATTCAATCCCCATAAGATTGAATTTTAGGGGTTCTCTAAAGATTCAAGTTTTCGGTGTTCGATGAAAGTCCTAATTCAGATTTGCGCTTTCTTTAGTCATCATTCAATTCAAAGAGTCTCTTCAATTTAGACATTTAACACAACAGATAGAGAAAATCCATCGAAAAAGTTACAATAAATTTACTAGTGGAGAGTAGTTTCTTCACCTGGTTTTAACCTTATAAACTCGGCTGTGCCAAATTGAATGCAAAATCATATGAAATAGATCGAACTTCACCGGTTTCTTGTGCCACAGGAAATGTTGCTGCACAGCTTTAACCCTTGCTTGCATGACAATATATCTCTCTTCGGATATCGATAGCAGAATGTTTCTCAGATTCGCTATTTCTTTCTCCTCAACAAACACTGCAAATTCCTCCCAGTTCAAAATCTCGAAAAAGGGAGGCACGTAGTTGTCAGCTATGATAACCGGAACACATTCATTAATGATAGCCTCGACAACCCTAGGGGTGTGGACTTCATAACCCCTCGCACATATGCAGTACCTGTTGAGATATTGAAATGGGAGTTAAACTTCTCACAACCAAAACCGTTCAATAGGCATTTTTGTATAGGTGAGCAATATGGTTTACGGTTTGGATTTTTCAGTTTCCTTGATCTTACTTGCTGCTCTTCATGTATTCTCGGTATTGTGTCTTGCTTTCGGGGTCACGAGGCATTGGACCGACAATCTTCATGTCAGGTTCTTTATTCTCCCAAAGCTTCACTAGGATCGGACGGAGATATCCGTGCATGCTGCCAGCAAAGAATGCAA